CCAGTCAGTGAGCTGCTGGTGAGAGTTCCGAGTTCTTGCTATCCCTTTCTTCAGTTAGCAAACCCTGTAGTAGAGCATCAGAGTACACCTGCATGAGACTTGGTGTGTGGTGCCTGTGGTATCAAGATGCTTGCCTCTGGTGTTCTGTCAAGGCCAGTGCTTGCTCTGTCCTTGCTGCTACCATTCTGATTACAGGCTCTGCTGTAACTTACTACTAAACTAAGTCTATGCTAAGAGAGTATTTCTAAATTATTTTCATTACCAAGGAATGTGAGATCAATTTAGTACTTAGATCAGTTTGCTCAGCCAACAAAGGATATATGCCAAAGTTATACTGAATTCTATAAACATATTTCACTAACAACAACAAAACTAGAAAACACTACCAATTGAGCAAAGATTTGAAGGTGAAAAAGTTACTACATAGAGACTTTGAGATCCACTTTCACACAGGAAAAAAAAAAAGGCTAATGGAAAAACGCTAAGATGGCATTTGGTGTGTCAGCTAGAATGAAATATTTTCAAATATAGGGTTTAAATAACTGAGGCATATACTCTGAAAAAAAATTCTTGACTAAGTCTTGGACTGTGTATAGAAAAAATAATATGAAAAAAAACTGATCAACATGAGGGAAATTACGCCTGGTACTGAAAGCCTAACCAACTACCCAGGACTAGGGAAGTCATGGACCTTGGAGGAGAACTTACAACCATTTTACTAAACCAGCATAATCCCTAACTACATTATAAATATTTGTCCTTATACTCCCAAGAAAGTGTAGTCTTCACTCCTGATCTCCCTAAAACAGATGATGATCATTACAAAATACTACAACCAATCAAAATGGATACATCTATCAACAACTACTCACTAAAGGCACAGGGATAACCAAGGAAGAGGTGGTGGAAAAATTGTAAGAGCCAAGGAACAGGGAGTGTGCACTGAGATTGTGTCTCCTAGGAGTAGCAGAAGCTATACCCACAAGCCTCACTGACATAACTACCTAAACATCAGCTGAAGAAGGATGAAAAAGAACTTATGCTGAAGCCCAGTAGGCCTCACCTCTACACAGAGAACTCCAGGCAACTGAGAACAAATGTAGGGCCTGCTTCTCTCCTTTCATGAAGATTCTGAGCATCAAATTCAGGTCATCAGACTTTACCTGCCAAGCCACCTTACTGGCCCACACATGTATATTTCAGGGGGTAAGACCAAAAGTCTTATAGCAACAGGCTGGCTAAGGGGACGCAAATGGAGCTGCAAGGTGCAGGTCTTTAATTGAAGCACTTGGGAGGCAGAGGCAGGCGGACCTAAGTAGGTTCAAGGTCAGGCTGGTCTACAAATAGAGTTCCAGGATTGTTCTGTTACACAGAGAAATGCTGTCTTGAACCCCCTACACCAAACCCTCTCCCCCAGAATTCCCAACTAGCCTCAAACTCAGATGCAAACGCTTTAGACCTCATTAAAGATTGAATATATTTTTTAAACAAGAAAGTGAAGAAAACTGTCTTCCCTCCATACTACTGACTGAACCTACGTCTTTCCATAGAGCTCTACTCATGGTCAAATTTTCTTCATAAAATGTCTAGGGTGATAGACACACCTGTAGTTACAGCTACTGAGGAGGCTGAGGGAGGGCAGATTAAACCCAGGAACTGGACACCAGAATCCATAACACAGAGACCACTGACTCAATGAGAAATATATGTAACACATTTTCAAATCTGAGTATTTCATACATGTATATATGTATTCTGATCAACCTTATTCATAACCCCCTCATGTATCCCCATACTTTTACTGTAAACATCATGTGCTTTTTCAATATAGCCCCATTGAGTCCAGAAATGTGTATAAATAAATTTAAATTTATTATACTTTATTTACTGTGTGTATGTTTTATGTGTTATTCACACCATGTGTGTGAAGGTCAGAGGAAATGTTGTAGGTATAAATTTCTCTCGTACTACATGGATCTCAGAAATCTGCCCTTACACACTGAGCCATGTCACTGGTCCCAGAATATAATCTCTCTCTCTTTCTTTCTTTCTTTTTTTTTTTTTTTGATGTGTGTGGCTTTTCAAGACAGGGTTGTACTGTGTAGCTCTAGATGTCTGTGGACCACACTGGCCTCAAACTCAGAGATCTCCCTGCCTCTTCTTCCCAAGTGCTGGGATTAAAGGTATACGCCACTACCAGGATAAGAAATATATTTCTTAAAGGTAAAAAAATATTTCAAGATACCGATGTCTTCAGAAATTAATGACATTATTCTTACATTAACGTGATGCTTTTTTTCTTTAACATGGGTAACTAAGAGACAGGTATCTAGTTACTCTGTATCAAGTGCAGAGGCCATGTTTAAAATGAAACAGTTATCTTATCTGTGGAATAAGATGCTCTGAAGATAGTAGTATAGTCTCTGATCAATTTTGTCATATTTTGTCTTAGGTGCTGTTTCGTTAAAGTAGAATCAAAAGAATCAGTTGTAGACTTCTTTGGTAGGAACAGAATAAGAAGAGTGGATGGGGGGGCTAGATGGAGGTGGGGGCAAGGGAACAGGAGGAGAGGAGGGAGGGGAAACTGTGGTCGTTATGTAAAATAAATTAAAAAAAAAAGAGTAAGTCTATAGAGCACCATAGGATACTGATCCATTCCAAAATGACTGGGTATAATGGAGGGGTGGTAGCTGGTAATATTTAAACTCAGGGTTAGAGCAGATGGCATTCAAGAACCTTTCCTGTTCCAAAAGTGTATGATTACTTTGTATGCTAAGAGAGACAGAGGGAAAAAAAAATGCTGAAATGATAGCAAATGGGACTGTTACTTTATACCTTTACCATTCTCAAATATATGATAAACAACTAAATTCATAAACCTATATAAGATACATAGTACTCCAAAGGTAATTTACTCATGTACAGGCCCTGAGTTTTCTCAAAAAAAAATTAAAATTATCTACTTGCTTTTAGACAATGTAAAGCTACTTAATTTGCATTAAGGATTATATATATTCAAGATATATTATTATACATATATAATGACTGCAACAATAAATCTATCACTATGCATTTCCCATGATGTACTGCTGTTAAGATACTGTGAATTGTGACTTAGTTTGTATGTTTGGATTAGTAGTTACCCATTTCCTCCCTCCCCTACAAGCAGTAAACACTGTTTTACTCTTCTGTTTGTGCTTTCCTGGAAACCCCAGGGTTTAGCAGAATTTTGTTTACTAAAGCAGGCGTGAATTATGAAATGTAACTCTTGATCTTTTTTTCTTTATCTTTTTCTAATATCACACAATAACTGTTCTTAACAAATTGATATAAATACTTGGATTAGGTCAATGTAGTGATAACTAGCAATAGTGATGATCATATTTGTTACTCTTTGCCAGGAATTATGGCAGACATTTCATAGCCATGTCATCCAATCATCATGATAAGCATGCAAGGTTTGTTTACAAGCATAAGAACTTAGTTTTTCCAAATGTTTTTACTAATGAGGCAGAAACTGGACCCAGGTCCAAATCCAAATTTTCTGACTAACAGAAAAGACTCTTCCAAACAGGGGTACAGAAGTAGAATGACATAGCTGCGAATTATGCCAAACTCATGAAGAAAATTCTGATGCAACACTGTTTTGAACAGGGAACTATCCTCATTTACCGTTTCTCTCTCCCTTAAACCTCTCTGTATAAACTTTAGTGTTAGAGCCACAGATTTGAGTGACATCAGGGGAGCATGACAAGTTGCCACAGAGGGAAGATCAGCACTGACAGCGGGGCTATTTTTTTCTATTGATTTTCATAGCATAATTCTGTCTTTATTGACTTGAGGTATAACTATAGTGGGACAAGATGCTCTTTAAAATGAAAAACATCACATATCTGTAAGTACTGGTTCAATAATGAGACTACCTTTATAAGGTACTGAATTTAATAGCAAGTACTACTTATCATGTTCGTGGATTTCATATTCTCTAACAACAAATTTAAATAAAAATTTCTCAACCCCAACTGGTGCTAGCTCAATAATCCAACAAACTTAGTGCTAGTCCAAGAATCCCCTTTCATGTTATAATGAGCAAGTGGCAGCTTTGGCTTCTTTGTTAGGGGAAGGCCAATGAGCTCCCATAGGAAAGGGTTGCAAAAATAGCAGAACGTGGGACTGTTTCTTGCCTCTGCTTCTTCAGCAATGTAGGTGGGCAGTCAGGGCCGGGTCTTGCCCGTTGTTACAACTGGGGTCCAGACTGACCAGAGAGCTTTTCTGCACAAAAGCTCCTCCCTTGACAGTAAAGCACAGGAGTCGCACACTCACGTGTGCTTCTCAAGCAGGATACTCCGAATTTGGAATCCGGAAGGAACCACACACTCCAAGAGGCTGGACTGCCAGAGCCCTGAGTCCGAGTCTGGGAAAGCGGCCAGCTACCCTTTAAAGGGACCTGGTTCCTCTCGGTGCTCAAAGGCGAAGCCCGGGACCTCGGTGTTGGAAACCTCGGGCCGAGCCATGCAAGCCCGGATAGGTAGCCCCGGGTCCTTCCAGCCGCAGTTCTCAGGAGACCCTAGTCCCGCACTTCCCGCCTGGGGCTGCTTTGGCCGCAGACCTGACGGCTGACGCTGGATCCTCCACTCCCGTGACCGAGAATAACCCGCGCGTGGCCAGGCTCCGTGTCCACCTCACTCACCTAGAAGAAGCTTCCGCGGCAACTTGGCAGACTCGGTTTCCAGGCGCTTCAAGCTCAGCCACAAATTCAAACCCAAGCCAGCTTCCTCAGCGACCCACATCATTGGCTGCCCTTGTGCTGACGTCATCACGTCGGACGTTGCCCTGGCGTCTCGCAGTTTGGCGCCAGAGGCCGGGCCTCACAGGCCGGAGGGGGGAAAGCTGCTTGTCTGGGCGTCGCCGTGGCAACGCGAGCGGTTGTTTCCGGGAGCCGTGGCGGAGGTGGGCGGAGCTAGGGCGGAGGTGCAGGTGGGAATCCACCTGGGCTCCTTAGTGTGGTCGCAGACCCTGGGAGTAGGGCTTGTGGCCTTGGGTGGGGTGCTTCTCTTAGGGGTAAGGCTGTCTGTGGGCGTGTTAAAGGGCTTGGGTTATTTTCTTTTTCCCTTTCTGATTACTCAGGCTTCCAAGGATTAGGTCTCATGTTATGGAAGGTATGGGGCCTCTACCTGAATTAATTGTAAGTTCAAGTTTTATGGCCCCAGGTCCCAAGCCTTCTTGTCAGGGCTTCCTGGCCTGTTTCCGTTATGGGTGACTGAAGATATTTGGTATTTGACTGCTTTTTACTTGCTCCAAGGATGACATTACAAAATAAAATCATTTAACGACGTGGGCTTAGTACATTATTCAATTAGGTGATTATTGTTCCAGATTGTATTATTTCTGAATGTATAATTTAGAAAGAAAAATCCATGGCAACATGGGAAATACTTTTCCTAAGATAACTCATTTTAATTTGACCGGATATTTTATATTTATTGTTGTCTAGGCAAGCCTTCTATCAGTGAGCTGACATCCTCAGCCCTTCAGATAAATTTAGTATTTCGATCTTAATTTCATTGCTGTTGTTTATATGTCTATTCATTTATTTAGCAATTACTACTTGCACATTTTAGAAACACATTAGTAAACAATGAAGTCAACATCTCTGTCCTCCTGGAGTTTAGATTCCAGTTGATTGTAAAATTATGGATATTTCAGTGTAGTTCATTATCTATCGTCTATCTATATCTATCTATCTATCTATCTATCTATCTATCTATCTATCTCATCTATTATCATATCATCATTATCATCTATCATCTCTCTACCTAATTTTGCAACACAGTCTTGCTAGTTAGCCTTGGCTGGCCTGGAACTCAGAGATCTGCCTGTCTCTGCCTCCTGAGTGCTGGGATTTAAGGCTTGGGCTACCACACCCAGCAGTACAGAGAATTATTAGTGTAATTTTATGTTGAAATCATACAGATTTTGGACAGTCCCTATTTCTATTGAAGAAAATAGGGGTCATTGCAAATTATATATCATACATGTTCTATTAATGTTTCTGAGCCCCAGACAGTCCAACAATAAAGTGACTACTTATTTCTGGTTGAATTAAATGTACCAATTAATGACATCATTTATGATGCACTGGGTTTGGCAGTAAAATTGAGAAGAATTAATTTTATTTTAAATATTCTCGCACTTGACTCATATATGACCTTTGGTGTCCCAGGCATATTATTAACTCCTTACATATATATTACTTCACTTTATTCTCCAAACAGACAATGGGTGGTAGACATATTGTTTTGATTTTATTTTGAGAAAACTGAAGTGTTAGAAAAATTTCTAGTGGGAAGTACAGTATTTGTTTTATAAAGCAAACCAATTCAAAATTCAGCCATTTGTCTTTAAAATACTATGTCAAGTGACCAAAATGATATTTTAATCTACTTTGAAGATATGTTTATGTTGCCATCTTGCAAAATTACATTTGTAAATGAATAAGGCATATAAATTACATATTTCTGTTTTTGTTTTTTACTTTTTAGTCTTACAAGTGTAGCTACACCTAATCAAAATACTATACATTTAATTTCAATTTTGCATTGCACTTGCACTTGCTCCATTTATGAAATCTATACTCTTGAGGAATCATATATTTGATTAAAACAGAGGTTTTGGCAATCCAATCAATGCCATTATTGTGGAGATGGCAACTCATGAGTTTGGCAGAAGTCATAACAGTACAAGAGAAACTCATGTTTTCTAACGAAATGAAGGGGGGGGGGTGAACCAAAACTTTCCAAATGTACAGGGCTAAGAAGGTTGAAATTTCCATCTTTGGTTAGAAATTGGACCATGTAGGGAGCCATTACAAAATTAGTGTATTCTTATAGTCGACCCAAGAGAAAAGTGAAAGTTAACTTTTAAACTTGCATCGGACATTAAAACATTTTGTTTTTAAACCCTTAAAGTTGTATTTAAACTTGGCAATGGTGAGATCTTATTTTCCCAGGAAGCTCTTTTGGAAACCTTTGACCCACAATTCCTCTCACAGCAGGTGCTGGGAGCAGCGGAACGGAAGGTGGACAGACCTCAGTTGCTCCGACGGACTTGAGCCCATCAGTCCGTTCTTACAAGTTTCCCCCACCCCCGACCAAGGTGTATGCAAGTTCTGCTTCTTAGCGTCGCGGCTGGCCCAACTTAGAGGCTGACTAGGAACTCTTACTCAGGTGAGGAGAAGGTGGCCAGTGGCTAGTTGTGGGTTGGAGACGGGGCTCTTGAGGCAGGAGGGGTTGTGGGGAGCGGATCCCCATTCGGCAAAGGAAGTAGAAGCCCCTCCCCCAACTCCCTCGGGTCTACTTGCCAGCCTGACTTTGAAGATCCCCAGCGTTCACTCCCAATCTTGCCTTTGAACATTGTCCAGGACGGGCTGGAATCCTTTGACTAAAGGATGCAGTTCTCCCTTTCCCACTTTTCTCTGCCTTCCCGCCAGCCCGCAGGTCGCGTTTCTAGCATTAAAATTACATTTGTAACATTTCCTTTCAGGGCAGACGGTTAGCAGCCCGAAGGAGGTACTCTTTATAGGCATCAGTTTGTATTCCCAAAATTAAAAGAGTAACCTGGGCAATTTTGTGGTCTCCACAGATTAAGGGAACTTCGCCTGTGTCGAAAAGTTAAAAAATTTACCTACAACACATTGCAATCTGCTTTAGAGGCCAGGTTTACTAACTGGCAGTAAATTAAGCAGTTTTAGGAGTTTGCAGAGGGATCTGGTTTCCTTGGTAGGAGACTTAGCTACAAAGACAGAATTCCCTTTACAGTTTGCACTCATTTTTTAAGACACCATCCCAACAATGTGAAATACTACAAATAACCTAAAGATTACAAACAATCCTTTATATGCAACCCCTTCTCCATGTTTTCCTGGGTTACAAGCTAGTTAGTTTCTAATAATAATACTGATAAAATAGGCTTAAACTGGGTGGTGGTGGCCCACGCCTTTAACCCCAGCACTTGGGAGACAGAGGTAGGAGGATCTCTGTGAGTTCAAGGCCAGCCTGGTCTTAAGCGCTAGTTTCAGGACAGCTAAAGTGCCTTGTCCCCTGTCCCCGCCGGGCGTTGGTGGCGCCCGCCTTTAATCCCAGCACTCAGGAGGCAGAG